TGTGTGTGTGTGTGTGTGTGTGTGTGTGTGTGTGTGTGTGTGTGTGTGTTTGTGTACATGCATACATATGAAGATTACAGGACAACTTTTAGGAGAAGAGAAATTTTTCTTCTTCCTTTGTGGGATCTGGGGATTGAAGTCAGATAATTTGGCTTTCAAAGTAAGTCCTTTTACTTGCTGAACCATCTCACTGGCCCAGTCTTTGATTCTGTTTTTCATGTTTGAAACTGTTCATGTTATCATACCTCCAGTTGTCCAGGATATAGACTTACCAAAAGCCTTATCACATGGCTCCCGTTTATCCTTTTATTGCCATTAACCTCAAATTCTCCATGTCTCTCCATCTTCCTAACTCCTCCCTCTCCTTTTGTCACTTAAACCACTGTAAACCCAAACCTGGTGAGGTGTCTGGTCAGTGAAGTCACTGTTTACTAAAGAGAGGTTAGAGGGAGAACGATGCAGAGACCGCCCCAGCACCCAACAGAGTTGCTGCAATAATTTGTGCAGGGAGTAATGAGGAAAGTCAGACCCCCTAGAGTCTCATTACAAATCTCTTAGATGGCCAAGTTATATGGTATCCCTGTGCCTCAATTTTCTCATCTGCACTATGGAGAACAGTGTCCCTATCACTTTATAAACTAAATGAACTTATAATGTGCTTTAAGTAGTCTCAGGCCAAAGCACAATTAAAAAAAGCTTACCTAGTTATATATTTTCAACCTCTGAGGATCAGAATACGTGAGATGTAGACATAGCATTCCCTCTTTAGAGGGCTACTAGGTGAGGGATAGGTGAACAATGAAAATCTGACCCACAGGAAGTCAGTCTTGTCAAGCCTATGCTTTCATTTCCACCATTCTACCTAAATTAACTCTATCACTGAACTGACACAGCGGACACCTTTTTTTCTATTTTGGCCTATCTTTTTCTAGGGTCTTCTATAACAGTCAACAGCCCTGCCTCATTTTCTCCCTCAATAAGCTTTCTAGATCCTTCATATTTAGCTCAGTTCCTAAACTTTCTGTCTGTAATAATTATAAAGCACAGGAAACCACAAAAAGTAAAAGTATATATAGAGAAGGTTCAACCATGCAATTACCTTTAGTGTAACAGCTTGCCTCACTGCAGTGCACTATCAGAGCCAGGGAAATCTCATTGGTACACACCGAAGAGCTCATTAAATTTTTATCAGCTTACTGTGTGTGACTTTGTGTGTGTTTGACTGTGTCCGTGCATCTCTCTCTGTGGACCATAGATTTTTATGTATTGAAGAGGAATTCAGAATATGGCTGCTCTGGCAAGAGATCACATCCAAAGGCGCTTTAGATCTGTGAGATCTGGCTGGAATACCAACATGTCTTTAATCCAGGAGACTTAGGCAAGCAGAGCCAACTTCAAGGCCAGCCTGGTATAGAGCAAGTTTCAGGTAAAGAAAAGCTTAGGTCTAGGAGTAGTGGTACATGCCTTTAATCCTAAACAATGAAGGTAAAGTTAATTTGTAGAAGGAAGCAAAGTGATATCTCATTGAGTGACAGAAAAAGTGATGAATCAGAGAAAGATTTGACAGAATAGTATATGTGCAGTTCTCATGAGAAGCAAGAGGAAAGACAAACGTAAGGGGCAATGCAGAGAGAGAGAGAGAGAGGAGAGAGAGGCACAACAGTTTTACCTAGAGAGTTTTACAGAGAGTGGTTGAATGAGAGAACAAGCTAGACACGGGTGAAGACAGAACTAGCCAGAGAATGAGAAGAAGCCAGGAGATTAGAATAGATTGTTAGAGTTAGTTTGAAGCCAAGCAGAGTAATTCAGGGGCCAAGAAAGAAGCCAGATTGAATAAGTTAGCTGGGAAAGGAGTTTTTAAAAGAAACTTCCAAGATATTTTCCAAGTTCATGCCATTTTTACCTAAAGTATTCCTAAACTTGGTGTGTCTCTTAGAAGTTGTGGAAAAGAGTGACATTGAGTCTGATCATTTTCATGGTATTGGTACTCCATGGGATCATCTATAATCTTAAGAGAATCTGAAAAAAATCGAGAAGAATTTTATCAAGGGAAACTATTATACCTAAATATTTACACATTATACATTCTCCTGCCTCTTTGTAAATGTGTGTATTATGTCTGAGAAGAGGTGGCATTTTAAGAACATTGGTAAAAAGCATGTGCTTTCAGTGAGAGAAGCTGAGGCTCAGGACCTGGGAAGGGAGACATTCTTGAGTGCGCCTTAACAAAGACACCCAGCAGAGAACACAGCACAGCACAGCACAGGGACATCAGACTTAAGAAGGAGAAAGCACAACTGTGTTTCTTTGTGTCCTGGTCATTATCCACACATGTGATTTTTTGCATAGCCTTTCAAGCACTGAACATCACCTCTCAGATTTTCTTCTTTGTGTTCCAGGCCAAAGAAGCACTTGAAAATATTGAGGTTCCTGTTGGCTGCCTTATGGTCTATAACAATGAAGTTGTGGGGAAAGGAAGAAATGAAGTGAATCAGACAAAAAATGTGAGTTGAGCGGTAAAAATGCAAAAATATACTATGGCCATGCTGGGAACCAGTTGGCAAGACAAGGCAAGACCAAATGTGTCCTGTGGGGCAGTTGCTTCTGCCGCTTTGTGTGTGCTTGTGGTGTGTGTGTGTGTTGTGGGTACACACACGTGTGCCTGCAGGTTGAGGTCAAGATGGCTTCCTCTCTTACTTCCCACCTTGTTTTTTGAGACAGGATCTCTCACTGCCTCTGGAACTTATCAGTTCAGTTAGTCTTGCTGCCAGCGAACCCTACAGATCCCTCCATTCTTTTTCTCTGCACTGGGGTTGCCTAGGAACCCCTTGTTCCCTTCTGCACTGGGGCTGCCTGTGGCTATATTTGGCTATGTTTGGCTGTTTGCATGGGTTCTGGGGTTTTAAATTTAGTTTCTCGTTTTTTTCCCAGCAAGCACTTTACCTACTGAGCTATCTCTCCAGCCCTAGATCTTTCTTTCCTTCTTTGCAAATATTAATTTTTTCTGATTATAGCAGTTATATGATTTCTTTTGCTTAGATATTAAAAATTCTGCAAAGTTAAATGAAGCTATAAAATTATATAGATAATTTTCTATACCTACATTTGTGATCTTAGCCTAAAAGCTAAGAAATGGTTAATTTTTTAAAGTTTTATTATGTTTTCTTTTAACACTTGGTGAAACGAAATGAGGAATTTCATCATATCAAAATATCAGCACAGAAGAAATGAGTACATTTCTGCTTGAAGCAAATTCAACCTGAAATTTCACCTTTGCAAAGCAGATCCGTGTAGCTTATAATGGATTTCTTTTAGTTTTTTTTCTCTTTGGGGTGGTAAGGGAAAAAGACCCTCAATGTATACATTGTAGGGAGGCGTAAAAGGATTGTATTAGAGAAAATGTTTTTGGCTATTCAATGGAATAAGGTCCCCAGGATGAGCTGTCCTCAACTACATGTGTCTCAGCTTCAATTACTTGGTGTTATTGTGATCAGATTGGAAGGTTCATGGTTTAAAACAGTGCTTCTTAAACATGGTATCACAACAGTGTGTCATGGTAGGCACCCGTGGAAATGGAAGTAGGTAAAATTGCTGTGCTATACCAGATGGACTCAAGAACAACATAACTCTAAGGACTGAAGGCCATCCATATGGACTTTGTTCTTACGTTCTTTGGGAGCATAGAGCAGTCTAGTGTTGGTGCTGGGGCTCTGAGGCCTTTAAAGTTCATCCATCACAACCCTGAGGTTTAACAAAACTCGGGTCAAGTAGGAACCCTGTTATGAGGGCATAAAAACATTTGAGGCAGATAATACACATGTTAGAGAAATTCATACCTAGCAGTTCTGTTTTAAATAGTTGCTACAGCTCCGAATCTGTACTGTGTGTTTGATGGAATATGCTTATGAAAACTAAAGCCTGAGTCCCCAGAAACTTTGATTTCTTAGACCCTTTGGGGTTAACCAGGGTTATTCCACTGTGTGTGTCTCTCATGGACTTGCCCTTTTAATACAATATACTCAAACCAGGCCCCACGTGAGAAGACCAGAATTCTGCTTTGGGCTAAGATACCAACACTGCCCTGTTGCCTCCCACTCCCTTTCCCTGTGTATTTTCAGTGCAGGAGAAGACAGCTTAGCTTATGTTTCCTTAGCACTAAAAAGGTGATTCAGTTCAACTGGTATTTCTTGAGAGCTGTGAGGGTGCCATCTCTCAGGAATTCTGAATCTGAGCTTTAAAAGGCTTCGGTTGAAGCAACCTTTTGTGTTAAGTTCTCCTGTTGTATTGGTATGCAGCCAGAACTGTACCCTTGTCTGTAAAGACCTTCTGTCAGCGGGTTTTGATTCTGTAGTCACCCAGGCTTGCTCTTGTCTGCCACTGGCTGTCACAGCATTGAGGGTCAATGCCAGTACTTTTTTCGCCAGGCTCCAGGTCACGGGAGAAAGAGCACGTTTCTGTCAGCCTCACCCAGTGTTGTGTTTGTTGAGGGGAGATTTTTTTTCTTCTTCTTTTTTCCTTTTTCTTTTTATTGTTTACACTTTATTCACTTTATTATATATACTTTATTCATTTCCTCCTCCCCTCCCGATCCCACCCTCCCACTCCTTTCTTCACACATGCCCTTCCCCAAGTCCACTGACAGGGGAGGTCCTGAGGGGAGATTTTTGATTACATACATAATTTAGTTAGCTTGTATAGAGCTAGCTTCCAGTATCAATTGTTGACAAATGTCATTGTCACAGACAGTGTAAATTAGTGCATAGAGATTTTGTGGTTTACTTTAAGCCATGTTTAAATTGGACTGTTTTGTTGGTTTTCTTTTAAAATCAGTGTGAGATTTTTATACTTGCTCTTCAGTAACCTTTTTCTCCCAGCCCTTAGTCCTAGCCCTTTTCCCCAGCTAGTCCCCTTCTGCTTTCTTGTCACACATAGCCTTCTTTTGTTGTTGTTGTTTGTTTTGGTTTTTCGAGATAGGGTTTCCCTGTATAGCCCTGGCTGTTCTGGAACTTGCTCTGTAGACCAGGCTGGCCTTGAACTCAGAGATCTGCCTGCCTCTGCCTCCCAAATGCTGGTATTAAAGGTGTGTGCCACCACTGCCCGGCTGCCCTCTTTCTTCATGCTCTTTCCTTTTTCCTCTAGTTATTCTTCCTTAACTGCTCTTACTCCCCTCTCATGGTTTTTATGATTTGTACCCTTACATGTATGCATTTATGAAAGGTATATATGTGAAAATTTAAATCTCCATTCCACCTTTCAAAAAAACAGGCAGTATTTGTTGGTCTGAGTCTGGAACACTTTATGGTAATGTAGTACTTTTGAGGAAATGGGTAAGATTTCTTGCTGTGCAAGTCCAAGGCATCTGAATTTCAGTCCCCAGCACCCATATAAAAAACTGAAAGACCCCAGCCTCACCCTAAGTTAAACATAGCTAACGCCATTTTGTGGGACACCACTGTTTTGTAAAACTCTAAAGGCTAAATGGAAAACTGGAAAATTACTAAGAAACCCAGCTGTGTCATCCACTTGGGATATCTGCGGTCAGGCTGCCCCAGTCGAACTAAAAACAGTTTGTGTTAATCACCCTCATGGATATCTGTGAGACTGTTCCAGTTAAGATAAGGGTCCTAAGGAAAACAACAGGTGACGGGCCACGTCAAGGGGTCATCATGACCATTTTGACCACCCAGTTCCTGGAATCTTGGTGTCTCTGCCAAACTTTGACGCAAACCGTGGTCTCATGTAAACGTACCAATCAGCCCCCTGTAACCATGCCTCTCGATTCTGTACCAGCGCTTCTGCTCTAAAACCCTATAAAAACCCCAGCTTCCCACCTAGGGGGCGCGCAAAGTCCTCCGAGTGACTTTCCGCCCCGGATACCCGTGTATCAAAATAAAAGCCTCTTGCTGTTTGCATCCGAATGGCCTCGTTGTTCCTTGGGAGGGGGGTCTCTCAGACGAAAGATACCCAGCCGGGGATCTTTCAAAACTAGGTGTGGCCATGCAGGTGCCTGTGGCTGCAGAGCTGGGAAGGCTAGACTAAAGGATGTCTACGATTGCTGCAGCCAGCCATGGTCCAGGTTCAGCGAGACACTCTCGCTATCACTCTCCAGGCAGAGAGTGATGAGCTGAGATGGGACACCTTACACCCTTGTTAACCTCTGTATGCATGCATGTGGGTGCACATACCTTCACGTATTCGTACATACGCACTTTGTGGTGTTTTGAATAAAAATGGCCCCAATAGGGTCATATAATTGAATGCTTGGTAAGCTATTTAGGAAGGATTACAGGTGTGGCCTCACTGGAGGACATGTGTCAACAGGGGTAGGCTTTGAGGTTTCAAAAGCTCAGCCAGACCTTGTCTTTCTCTTTGAGTCTCTCTCTTCTCTCTTTTCCTCTCTCCCTCTGACCCTACTTCTCTCCCTCTCTTTTTCTCTCTGCTCTCTCCGTCCCCCTCTTTTTCCCTCCCTTCCCTCCCCTTTCTCCCTTCTCTGTGTTTCTTTCCTACCTGTGGATCAGGATGTAAGCGCTGCTCAGCTGCTGTACCAGCACCCTGCCTGCCTGCCTGCTGCCTTGCTTGCTGCCATGACAGTCATGGGCTAACCTTCTGAAACTATAAGCAAGCCCCTAGTTAAAAGCTTTCTTCTATAAGTTGCCTTGGTCATGTTGTCTCTTTACAGCAAGGTGTAGCTGGCAAAGATTATCTCCCATTCTGTAGCTCCTTTCTTCATTCTGTGTATAGTTTCCTTTGCTGTGCATAAGCTTCCAAACTTGTCAATTACATGTGCCGTTGGAATATTTTTCAGAAAGTTTTTGCCTATACCTATCTATTGACATCGTTCCCAGTTTTCTTCTAGAGGCTAAAATATTTCAGATTTTATATTAATATCTTTGATCCATTTGGCATTGATCTTTGTGTAGGGTGTGAGACATGGGTTTAATTTTATTTATGGATGTAGATATTCATTTTTCTCTATACCATTTGTTGAAAAGGCTGTCTTTTTTCCAATATATGTTTTTATATTATCAAATATCAGGTGGTTATAATTATGTGGATTTATTTTGGGTCCTCTATTCTCTTTCACTGACAAAAAGACATTTTATATATCTGTTTTGGTGCCATATTTACCAATCTATATATCTGTCTTATCACTTTGGCTCTGTAGTGTAATTTGAGGTCAGGTATTGTAATATATTTTTCCAGAATTGTTCTTTCTATTAAGGTTGCTTTTGCTTTTTAGAGTGTGTGTGTGTATGTTAGAATTACTTTTTCTAGTTTTGCAAATAATGCCTTTATTATTTTGATAAGGATTGCACTGAATTTGTTGATGCTTTTGGTAATGCAGCTATTTCTACAATATTAATTCTTCTAATCCATGCTCATGAACGAGCTTTGTTTTCTATTTTCTTCAATTTCTTTCTTTAATGTCATGAAGTTTTCATTGTAGTATAGTGGTCTCTTACTTCATCAATGTGAAGATGAGATGTTTTTGTCCCTAATTTCTCTTTCTTGGATATTTTCTTATTGATATATAGGAAATCTACTGTTTTCATCAGTGCTAAGTTTCTGTCCTGCCCCTTTGCTGAAAGTATCAGATGTAAAAGTTTTCTTGGTGGAATCCACAAGGCTTCTTATCATGCCATGAGATAATTTCACTTCTTCCTTTCTTATCTATATGCTTTTTTTTTCTTTTTTTGGTCACTTTTTGTCTCATGCCAGGATTTGGAGGAAAAGTTTTAAATTTTTTCCTCATTTAGGTTGTTACCTGTATGCTTTTATTATGGCAGTTATTAAGATTTAGTCCTCTCTATTCTTAATTTCTTTAGGACATTTTATCATTAAGGTATGTTGAACCATGTTAAATGCCTTTTCTGTATCTGTTGAGAAGATCATATTATTTATGTCTTTAAGACTACTTATATAGTATTTTGCATTTATTGATTACTGACTGTTGACCAAACTTTGTACCTCTGAAATGAGACCAGCTTGACTGATGTGTGAACTACTGTATTCATGCATTAGGTTTGTCAGAATATTGAGAATATTTGCATCTATGTTCATCAAGAAAGATGCTCTACAGCTTTCTTCCTTTGCTGTACACTCATCTGGTTTTGCTGTCAGGATAAGACTTGCATTGTAGGAGTTCAGTAATGTTCTTTCTCTTTTTATTTTGTAGAACAAGGTGAGGAATATTGGTGGCAGGTCCTCTTTAAAAGTTTGGTAGAATTTGCTGGACAGTGGTGGCACACACCTTTGATCCCAGCACTTAGGAGGCTTAGCAGGTGGATCTCTTGAGTTTGAGGTCAGTCTGGTCTATAGAGTGAGTTCTAGGACAGCTGGGACTTCACAGAGAAATCCTATCTTGAACCCTGCTTTAAAACAAACAAACAAATAAAAAAACCAAAATATTTAAGCCTATAGTGGTGGTTCATGCCTTTAATCCCAGTAGTTGAGAGGCAAAGGGAGGTGGATCTCTGTGAGTTCAAGGCCAACCTGGTCTACAGAGTTAGTTCTAGGATAGCCAGAGCTGGTAGAAATTGGACACAAATCCATCCAATCCTGGGCTTTTCTCTGTGGGGAACTTTTGATTACTGTTTCTATTTCATTGTTTGTTGTAGGTTTTATTTGTCTACATCTTCTTAACTTAATTGCTGCTATATTTCACGTTTGGGAATTTGCATTAAGTTATTTTAAAGGTTTATTTTTTGTGTCTGTGTTTTGTGGCACTACTCTTGGAGAGGTGTGAGCAAATGTCTACTCACTTTAGATAAGGAAGCAATAGATCAGAAGTAAGCAGTCACTCAAGTCCAGCTTGCTGGGCCAGTTGGTTTTGTTTGGGTTACTTACAGGAGCAGAAATGATTCATAAAGATAGCTACAACACAAAAGCTAGCCCCAGCACTGGTGATGGTCCATGAAAGCTGGAAATCTGAAGCGCACTGTATAACCCGCAGGCAACTGGGCAGGTTGGATAGCATTTCTTCAGGCACCGTAAGCATTTCCTCTTCCAGGCAGAATGGCTGGTCTAGGGGTGTCTTTTATCAGCCCTTACTGCTTATATGCACTTGAGGAGGGAGGGGTTATCTAGTGTATCTGGTCAGTTTCCGGGACTTCCTGAAGCCTTTGAGTTGTTTACTTTCTGAGCTTAGGGAGCTTTCCTGAAGAAGGGAATGTTTCACTTCTCCATAAAACATCCTGTGTCTTAAGGAACTCATATTGAAGGTAGAAAACTTTATCTTAGAGGAAACTGCTGTGCAAAAGTGTGTGTGTGTGTGTGTGTGTGTGTGTGTGTGTGTGTGCGCATGAGTGCATGCCTGACTGTATGTATATAAACTGTATGTTTGCAGATACCTTCAGAGTCAAGAAGAGGGTATTGGATCTCCTGTAACTGGAGTTCAATGGAGTTACAGGCATTTGTTAGCCACCCATTGTTGGTGGTAGAAAATGAACTCTGGGCTTTCTGCAAGAGCAACAAGTGCTCTTAAACTTAAGGCCCTCTCTCGACCCTTGTGTTAGAATTATTTTAATAAGGGAAAGAAGAGTACCTAAATATCATCATGCCATATCCTGCTTGGTTCACATTGGCTCAGATTTCTCTATGAGCTGTAGAGAGAATGACAGTAAATTCTAGTTTAGACATGGAGGGTCCAAAGTTTGCTCAAGACTCATAATAAGTGCATCCCTCTCAGGATTCAAATTTCAGTGTAATTGATTCCACATGTTGGGTGATTTCTCCTGTAGTGTACTGTCTCCCAGGAAGCATCTGCAATCTCAAGTCTATGTTTCTTAAGAGTCTGTTGTGCCATAAAATCTCATCTCCTAAAGTGAGAATGATGAAATTCTAGTGAACTCAATACAGATTTGCTTTAGAGTGAGATCAGTAAAAAAATCTATTTGACTGTTATGAATAAAGCTGCTACAAACATGGTTGAGCAAATGACCTTGTTGTATACTTGAGCATCTTTTGGACATATGCCTAGGAGTAGTATAGCTGGATCTTGAGGAAGCACTATTCCTAATTGTCTGAGAAAGTGCCAGATTGATTTCCAAAGTTATTGTACAAGTTTACATTCCCACCAGCAGTGGGGGAGGGTTCCCCTTTCTCTTCAACCTCTCCAGCATGTGTTGTCACTTGAGTTTTTGATCTTAGCCATTCTGATGAGTATAAGGTAAAATCTCAGGGTTGTTTTGATTTGCATTTCCCTGAGGACTAAGGATGTTGAACATTTATTTAAGTGTTTCTCTACCATTCGATATTCCTCTATTGAAAATTCTCTGTTTAGCTCTGTTCCCCATTTTTTAAATTGGATTACTTGATTTGTTGCTATTTAACCCGGATATCCCTCAATTGAGGAATGGATACAGAAATTGTGGTACATTTACACAATGGAATACTACTCAGAAATTAAAAACAAGGAAATCATGAAATTTGCAGGCAAATGGTGGGATCTAGAAAAGATCATCCTGAGTGAGATATCCCTGAAGCAGAAAAACACACATGGTATATATTCACTTAGAAGTGGATAGTAGACATATAATATAGGATAATCATACTAACATTTATACACCTAAAGAAGCTAAGCAAGAAGGAGGACCCTGGGTAAGATACACAATCTTCATTCAGAAAGGCAAATGGGATAGACTTTGGAGGAGGGTGAAAACAAGGAATAAGACAGGAGCCTACCCACAGAAAGCCTCTGAAAGATGCTACCCAGCAGAATATTAAAGTTGATACTGAGACTCCTAGCCAAACTTTGGGCAGAGTGCAGGGAATCTTATGAAAGAAGGGGGAAATAGAAAGACCTGGAGGGTACTGGAGCTCCACAAGGAGAGCAAAAAATCTGGGTCCAGGGGACTTCTCTGAGACTGATACTCCAGCCAAGGACCATGCATGGCGATAACCTAGAACCCCTGCACAGCTGTAGCCCATGGCAGCTCAGTCTCTGAATGGGTTCCCTAGTAATGGGAACAGGAATTGCCTCTGACATGAGCTCAGTGGCTGGCTCTTTGATCACCTCCTCTCTGAGGTGGGTCTTACCAGGCCACAGAGGAAGAAAATGTAGCCAGTCCTGATGAGACCTGATAGGCTAGGGTCAGATGGAAGAGGAGAAGGACTTCCCCTCTCAGTGGACTGGGAAAGGCTCATGGGAGAAGAGAAAGGGAGGACAGGATTGGGAGGGGATAGGGGGACCTACAGCTGGGATACAAAGTGAATAAATTATAATAATAATAATAATAATAATAATAATAATAATAATAATAATAAAACACAGCCAAAAATTTAAAAATTAAAAAAAGAAAATCTATTTGAAACTAGAACATAAGCTTATAAAAATTTCAAACTTTCCTTAAAGTAGTCAGAAACCATGGACATCATTTTGAGACTTATTTCTTCTTTAATATTTTAATGAAAAAAATTTCCCAAGGTACATGAGACTTTCACTAAACACATAGCAAGGTTTATGTAGTATAATGGAATTGGCATCTCTGTTGGTGAAATTATGATAGTTGAATTGGGGAATGGCTAAGGGCATCCTGAAATCTATGCTCCAATAAAGGCAGAAATAGTAGGAATGCTTTTTGAATTTGTTTTGCATATTGTAGAGACATAAGCTGTATGAAACAGACAGTACCAACGCAAGTCTGCCTCTCTTCAGGCTACTCGGCATGCTGAAATGGTGGCCATCGATCAGGTCCTCGCCTGGTGTCATCAACATGGCCAGAGCCCTGCTGCAGTGTTTGAACACACCGTGCTGTACGTTACCGTGGAGCCATGCATCATGTGCGCGGCTGCCCTGCGCCTCATGAGTATCCTTGCGCTTCTGCTTTCCTGTCTTTACCTTGCCTGTGAGCAAGAAAATGGCCAAATAGATAACCTTTTTTTCTCTTTTTATTGTTTTTCCTTTCAATGTTGAGGGTTAAACCCAGGCTATTGCCCATGCTAAGCACATGCTTGTCACTGAGCTATGCCTTTCCTCATGTGTGGAAACAATTATAAAGATGGTGTACAATTCAGCAAGAAACAGGAAAGATTATCTGTATACAGCAAAGTTATCCGTTCTCTCTCAGTATCAATAGCCATGAAACTATTGAACACATAAGCTACAGGAAGAAAAGCTCAGAACTAAAACTCTTGTGTAAGGATGGACCCAAATTAAGTTAGAGCACAGTAGACATTCTGAGGAAGATGCTTTTGCCTTTGTTTGACAGATTATAGGTAATTTAAATATTTTCTGTCTTAGTCTGTTTTTGCCATGACTACCTATCACAAAGTGCAAAAAAAAAGGAAAAACAGACTAAGTTCAAGGTAAATAAGAAGTAAAATGCTGCCTGATATTATCATTGTACATACATGGAAATTAGTCAGTGATATTTAGTTGGATTGTATCTTTTGTAGAGTGAGCAATATAAATGCTGAGTGTAGTCAGTTTCTAGAATTAACTAGCTAATTAATTAATTAATTAATTTTTGTTTTTTAAGTCAGGGTTTCTCTTTGTAGCCTTGGCTGTCCTGGACTCACTTTGTAGACCAGGCTGTCCTGGAACTTACAGAAATCCTCCTGCCTCCACCTCCTGAGTGCTTGCATTAAAGGCGTGCGCCACTATGCCCAGCTAGAAACAAACAAACAAATAAATAAATAAATGAATGAATGAATAAATAAATAAATAATTTACAACACTGAGAGTCTTGTGCATTCTAGGCAAGTGCTTCTTCATACTTGTAGTTTCATTTGTTTTTAAAATTATATGCAGTTTTATCACTTCAAACAATACAGAGGGCTTTTGGGGAACAATAAAACATACTGTCTTTGTACTAGAGGAATTATTGGCACCATTGTTGGAGGAGTTATTAGACCAGTTTCCTCATTCTGTCTTGCAGGAGAGAACAGGGAATAATGTGGGTGGGTTTCTAGCTTTTGTGTGGGTGGTTATTTTGTTTTAGTTTCTTATTTTTGTTTTGAGACTGGCTCTAATGTAGCCAGGGTTATGGATCTCACTGTGCTTGTTAAAATTAAGCTCTTGATTCTCCATCTTCTAAGGGCTGGGATTATAGGCACATGCACCACACCAGGCTTCCATCCACTTTTTACTTGCCATTTAAATTTATTTATTTATTGTGAGGAGCACAGGTATGCCATGGCATTTGTTTGGCAAAGGTCAACTTCAGGAATCAGTTATCTCCTCTTACCATGGGTTTTAGGAATTAAATTATGTATTTTAAAAGGAGAAATTCCTGAATTAAATTTTTAATTCGGCAACGATTCTGAAAAAATGATTTAAGGAAGAACAGAGAATTGATTAAATTGCATATTAAGCAAAAACACTTGGTCTCTGTTCTGGTCACAATTGCCAGGTTTTGCTTATTTATGGATATACTGTTACTGTGTGTGCAATCACATGTCATGTTACACATGTAACAGCGGACAATCCTGAGGAACTGGTTCTCTCCTTCCACATTGCATGGGTCCCAGGGCTCAAACTCCGCTTGTTGCGCTTCTGTGGCAAGTGCTTCTGCCAGCTGAGCCACCCTGTCGACTTAACAATCGCTAGATTTTAATTTATAGATACTTAAAGACTCTTTCTCTTTCTTTTTTGTATAACTAAATTTTATCATTGTAAGGACCAACCATAAAGATGAATTGTTTTGAAGTCTATTCTGAGCTTTCTAAGGGAGTTAGCATCAGCCTACAGTTGCCATGATTCTGCACGTTGCATTCAGGACCTTAATTCTGTACTATAAATCCCGCTGGTTGTCTACGGCTGTCAGAATGAACGGTTTGGTGGTTGTGGTTCCGTCCTAAACATTGCCTCTGCTGACCTACCCAATACTGGGAGACCATTTCAGGTAATATATTCTTTTTATTCCCTCCCTCCCTATTGCCACCCCCGCCTTTTCTGTTTATCCATCTCTTGATGTACTTGCCAATTGAGTGTGGTCAGTATTCTAAAAATCCATTACAGAATCAGACTACATCTCACTGGAAGAAAATCTTTGTTTCTTCCCTGATTGTGAGTTCCTAATAGAGTTCACCAGTACCTTGTGTGTGTGTGTGCTATGAATGTGTGGTACACAGACATACACATATCACATGCACACACACACATGTACACATGCTTGTGATGGTAGCATGAAGGTATGAACAGTTCTCTCTCGGGTGTGTCAGTGCAGTCAGTGTTTCTCAGCCAAGAAAAGTTCTTTTACAGTTCATATACACAGCCACGTTGGCTCAGTGGACAATGAATGCCATGGTTTGAAAGCGTGGATCAAGGTTTAATTCCAAATTATATTCTAAGGTCTTTTGACCTGCTAAGGCCTTGCTATGTCAGGCTTTTGGATGCTGGGTTTTCTTCCTCTTCTTTGGTCAGGCTCATGGGACAGAGGACAAAATGGAGGTGGGCTCTCTGGTTAGAGTTATAGATTCTTTTAATATAATACTGTGTTCAGGTGGACATTTGGAGAGTGAAGATAGAGTTGCTGGAAGGCACCAGTGCCAGCACACACCCACCAGGAGTGGCTAGCTTGGTGTGTTCTGAGAAACCAAGGGGGGAGAGGCTTGTAAGCAAAGCTTGTGTGTCAGGTCACCTCCTGCCTGTAGAGCTGTGTTGGGAGGGGGCCCATGTTTCCATCAGTGAGTACCCTGGGATGCTGGAGAGGCAGCATCAGTAGAGCCTCGAGAGCATAAGACAGGAGGAGATTGAGGAGGAAAGTGAAGTTCTGAGGCAAGGGCAGCACTTTGTACTGAGAGAAGGAGGAAGGTTACTGTTACCATGGGGGAAGATCCCAGTCGGGAGCCTAGGGAGGCTCCAGGAAAGGAGGTTCAGTCTCAGCAATGCCCCCTGAGGCTGGCCTCCCATCTGCAGGTGGTTGGCCAGACACCACTTTGAGGGATGACTGAATTGTTTCATAAACTTCAGCACAATGAGTTAGATCTTTTCCAGTCTCGCCAGATGAGTACTAAAATCCCTAGGCATTTGGCTGCATTTTGTATGGCCAGTTTCTGTCCCCTCCCCAACCAAGCCCTCCAGCCTGCTTCCACAGAGCCCACACTTCTCCCTACTCCAGGAGGCGTGCTTTCTTGCCGCTGTCCAGGTTCAGCCTTCATATTAACCCATATTTCATTAAATGTTCTTTATGGCTCTTGCTGCTTTCACATATTCTCGTCTCTTCTGCCCAGATCCCAGAGCAAAAGCAAACGCAACAGTTTCCTTAAATCCCCCATAGCAAACTTAAAAAAATGTTTTTTTTTTCTTTTTTTCTGAAGGACCCAATAGTAGATAGTTTTACCTCTTGTGAGAGAAATGTCTCTTGTCACATAGTGTTTTGTTTAATAATAATAATAAACTCTTCAAAGTATAAAAACCATTGCTAGCTGTAAGTGTTGCAGCTCTGAAGGGAAAGGCTTCCGCTTCAGAAATTCTGCTCCTGATGCACAGTAAAGATTTCCCTAGTGGAAGTGCAAGCTCTGCTCCAGCAGGGATGGGTTCCCAGCAAAACTGTTGCAGCCCTGCCTGCAGGAGGTATCCTGGTAATGGAGAGCCAAGGAATACCGGAAAGGCACAGTGCACAAACCTCACATAGAGACTTACTGGGAGGGAAAAACTCAGGAGGGTGGCTGCCTATGCAGTAGGGAAATGAGCAGAAGGCAGGGTACATATTCGGTTCCTTGGGGTAGGGAGTGGGGAAGGGGCGGGGCTGTCCAGAGTAGAGATTTTCAGAGTGAGGATTGGTGGGATTTCCTGAGCTCAGCAATTGGTAGGTTTCTTTGGCAAGCTCAGGGATTGGTGGGTTTCATGTTCAGGGACTGGTGTGTGTCTGGGCCAAGTGCAGAGATTGGTGGGATTTGTTTCTTAACCCTGGTTTTAGGCTTGGGGTCAAGTCAGGGTCAGGGTGTTTTTCCTTTTACACTACACTAGGTTGTCATTCTTAGCTATGGACTTGATTTATTTTACTAAGACTAGTTTACCAGTCCAGGCTGTATAACATCCCGTGCTTGGTGAGACACTGGAAAATACAACAGGTAAAAATAGCCCGTGCTTTATGTCCACCTGGTTAGCATCTCATTTCATCACTGCAGCAGCCTGAGAAGTCCAGTTACGTACCACATAGGGTTTAAGTACCCCCAGTAGTGAGTGACTGAGAGAGACTTTCGGTTAGGGCGTGGTACCCAGTCTTTTGGAGATGTACATCTTCATCCATGCTGATACTTGTCCTGAGTAATGAACATGGTGTGGAGTACCTTTATTTCTTTGCAATGGTGTATACACTGTGGGATGTATACAAGTGGGATGTATAACCCACTTACGGTCATGGCCGATGCTCACCTTGTGTTTCTCCCTCGTCAGTGCATCCCTGGGTACCGTGCTGAGGAGGCTGTGGAGCTCCTAAAGACCTTCTACAAACAGGAAAACCCAAATGGTGAGTTTTCTTCTGGTTTAGTGCCTCACGTTAAAACAACTCAATGCGGTTGTTTGGAATCTCTCACTTTCTACTTATCTGGTTTTTTATTTTTGCTTTTGTTTTGTTTTCCCACAGCACCAAAATCAAAAGTTCGAAAAAAGGATTGTCAGAAATCCTGATGCTGTTCTGATCCTGACTAGTGTCGTTCAGAGACCTGGACAGAATTTCCAACTGAGAGCCATTGGCATCGTGGGTCGTGTTTCTATGTTGTTGTTACTGGGTGGGAAGATGGTGTCTCTCGTCATTTGTCATTTGCTCTGTTAAGGGAACAAATTAGCCCTTTTTAAAAAAGTCTGACAGATGTAAACAACTATTAGCTCTTCCACCAAGCTGAAAGAGTGTTTCGGAAAGGGGAAGGATTAAGGTTTGAGGTCGCAGTGATCAGCAAGCAGTGCTCGCCCCTCCTTCAGCCACAGCTTTAGTCCCATCACAAAGAAGTTCTTCATAGCTAGCTTCGAAGATGCCTTCGTGATAGAGTGTTTGCCATGGAGGCCGGAGGCCCAGGTCCCCAGCAACCACCAATGCCAGGTGGGCTTGGTGGCCTGCCTATAATTCCAGTGCTTGCAAGGCACAGACAGGCTTCCAAGGCCCCAAAGCAAGCTAACAGTTACTTTAGCTCTTATTGATGAGCTCTGGGTTCAAATGAAAGTGATCTAGGAGGACCCCCAGTGTGAAGCTTAGACCTCACATGTCCACATGCACCGCCCCCCAACACAAGTGCATAAACAAAATGCAAATACATACGTCACACATGGACACCACACACAACATACATGTGAAAGAAAAAAGACAAGTGTTCGGAAGACTGATCAAGATCAAAACAGGAAGGAAAAGGAATGAAAAAGAAAGCCTTGGTATTTTACTGAGGCCATTCAGACTGGTTCTGCCCCTGATTTCACCAGGGCGCAAGGGACCTGGGCTCATCCTAACTTGTATTATGACTATGTAAATGACCATGCATGTCAGGGGTTCATGTGTGCAGATGTGGAGGCAGAGAACATCTCAGGTGCTGTTCCACATGGGCAGTCCCCCGCCTCCTTTTTTTAAGGCAAGGTTTCTTGGAATGTACCATTCAGCTAAGCAGGCTAGCCAGAAATGCCCAGGGTTCCGCCTGTGTCCTCTAACACACGCACCACTGTGTGCTTCCTTCCTTCTTTCCTTTATTGAACTCAGGTCTTTCTACCACTTTGCTGATTGAGATAGCTCTCCAACCCTAGAACATTTTTAAAAAGTATTTAGATAAAATAGATGCATTTAAAGTAAGTGTTTAAGAGTCATTTTTTTTAAATCATAGGCTATTGCTACAGTAATATGTAGTATTCATGCCTTCTTTCAGGAGGTCTAGTGTTTAAATAGTGGGTGCTAGAGAGATGACTCAGGGGCTAAGAATATATACTGCTCTTCCAGAGGATACTAGTTTGGTGCCCAGCGCCTACGCTGGGCAATTCACAACCCGTAATTCCAGTCCCAGAGGACCCAGTACCCTCTTCTGGACTCTGTGCGCACCTGCACTCACATGTGCACACGTTTCCATAATTGATATATACACATATAATTAAAAAAAATTTAAAGGTAAAAATTTGAAGTTTCTTATAATGGAGTAACTATTGTCTTAAGGTTCATTTCTTCTCTTTAACAAAACAAAGACTTATACTCTCAAAGCAAAGACCATATATTCTCAAGAGAAAGAAATGAAAAATTGTCCATATGTAATGTGCTGGAGGATGATAGGTGCTGCTGGTCATAGTGGGGTGCACTGGGTGGGTGGGGGGTTGAAGTAAAAGAATCATGAATTCAAGATAAACCTGGGCTATGCAGGAAAACCTTCCCCCGTCCCCCCACCTCCCCTCCAAATTATAACAGGTTGCCATTTGGAATAAGAATGCAGGAATGATGGTTACAGGAATGAATAAAATGATCCATTTATTCCTAACTAACAAAGCTATTACTCCTAAAAATGCAGATGATGACATTTAAATTGAATATCTAAAAATTTGACCTCACAACCAAATTTCCAGGGAGGGTCACTGATGCAAGGTGCAGCTTTTCTCCAACTGCCCTGGCGCTGTGTGCATCTCTGCCCAGAAGGGGGCCTCGCCGGTCCACCGGAAGACAGCACCCGTGCCGCCTCAGTTTCTTCAGCTACTTCAAGTCCTTGATGCAAAGCGTCTGTGTTTGTTGACTCTGCCCTTGAAGCGCTGTCTCCGACTTGTTTGGTTTGAATTACATTACAGGCTGGAATGTGATTGTGGCTGTAGTATTTTTATATTGACGGGATGGGGGAGGGGAGCAGCTGATCACTGTTACATGCTTCAGAGGATTTATAATTGCGTGGTTTGTGCATGTGTGTTTTTAATGGCATTTCAGAAGTTTTATGAGCGAAGAAAACGCAAGATTTTAAATTTACAATAATGGTCTGTGCACCTTCTCTTCGGTTTTATCTACTTTAAAAATTGTCTTCTCATTAAATTTTAGTACTTTGAGTAGTGTGTTCCTTTTTGCAGTTGGTCGTAATTCACTTCTGGCTCCTGTGCGTCCCTGAAAGCAGACATCATTACCCTTACTGAGTTCATATCACTTTCGGGGTATTCTCTGTAGGCAAAACAAAATCTGGGCACTTTCCTTTGTAGAGCACCACCAGATTATTCTGTCTGTCTGACAACCAGTGGGTTCATGGTAAAGCTTTGAAACTGGTTAGTATGAATTTAGGGAGAAAACAAAAACAAAACAACAAAAAAACTAAGGTAAAAGCATAGAACCAGAAATAACATGAGGGCGTTTTATTCCAGACACACACACTACTTCAGAAGCAGAGAGATAATTCCAGAAAATAGGGCAGTGTGCATATTTTCCCTTTCCGATTTTAGCAGGTGGCTAAGTGGCATTTCCTGCTTCCTAAGTAGGGCTGAACAGCCTAATGTCCACTTACCACCTTTAAAGTTCCCTTTCCAGGCACTGGTAGAATTTTTGAACGTAGCTTCCTCTGGGGAGATCACTTTGCATTGTCGTAGATTAGGGACCAGCACTGCCACTGTGCCTGTGCAGGATCCCTGCGGAAATCATAGACACCAAGTCTGCAGACACAGTGTCCGCATGATGGTGAGGAACCGTGTGCACACCGAAACTGTCGAGTGCTGTGCTCTCCAGCAGTCTCACCACAGCGTAGAACATATCAGACATGTTTACACTCAAGCATATATCCAGCAGGACAAAACTGGTTGAGCCTGCCGAAGAGACCAAACGTGAGTTGTGCTTTGTACATGAGATAGTTAGGAAGGTGTAGGACACAGACAGGCTGTAGAGCCACTGCCCTGTTAAGAGAAGTTAGAGATGATTACATGGACGCCGCTGAGGCAGCCAGTGTTTGCTGGGTTCTGTAGCGAGCTCCTGAGAGTGGGTGGTGTGTCGACAGGTGACTCGGTATGACAGGCTTCAGTGACTGACAATAAAAGGTTGTGTGAAGATATCTTGGCACCTCATGTGTTGTACATGTGACATATGGAAAAACAGCCAGTGACCCAAATGTAGGCAAGGTGGTTTATTTTTTAAGACCTCCATTTATGTTTTCTTTCTTTTTTTTCTTTATTAATTACACTTTATTCCCTTTGTATCCCCCCTGTGGTTCCCTCCCTCCTCTGTCCCAACCCCTCCCTTCCCCCACCCTCTGCATGCATGCCTCTCCCCAAGTCCACTGATAGGGGAGGACTTCTTTTCCTTCCTTCTGATCCTAGTCAATTAGGTCTCATCAGGAGTGGCTGCAGTGTCTTCCTCTGTGGCCTGGTAAGGCTGCTTCCCCCTCAGGGGGGAGGTAATTAAAGAGCAGGCCAATCAGTTCATGTCAGAGACAGTCCCTGTTCCTATTACAATGGAACCCACTTGGATACTGAACTGCCATGGGCTACATCTGTGCAGGGGTCTTAGGTTATCTCCATGCATGGTCCTTGGTTGGAGTATCAGTCTCAGGAAAGACCCCTGTGCTCAGATTTTTTGGTTCTGTTGCTCTCCTCGTGGAGTTCCCGTCCTCTCCAGATCTTACTGTTTCCCACTTCTTTCCTAAGATTCCCTGCACTCTGCCCAAAGGTTGCCCATAAGTCTTAGCATCTACATTGATAGTCTGCAGGGCAGGGCTTTTCAGACGTCCTCTGTGTCAGGCTTCTGACTTGTTCCCTCTTTTCTCCTTCTGAAAGGTCCAGCCTCTTTGCCTTTCTGGATAGGAATTGAGCATTTTAGCAAGAGTCCTCCCTCTTGATTAGTTTCTTTAGGTGTACAGATTTTCGTAGGTTTATCCTATATTTTGTGTCTATATGAGTGAGTATATACCGTGTGTGTCTTTCTGCTTCTGGGATAGCTCACTCAGGATGATCTTTTCCAGATCCCACCATTTACCTGCAAATTTCATGATTTCCTTTTTTTTTTTTTTTTTATTGCTGAGTAATATTCCATTGTGTAGATGTACCACAATTTGTGCATCCATTCCTCCACTGAGGGGCATCTGGGCAGCTGAGGGCGACCTTGAATTTCTGAGAAGTGCTGGGATTACAGTTGATTACCACTGAGCCCATTTTATGAGTGCTGAGGAGTCAGTCTCTGGCCTTCATGAATGCTAAGCAAGCACTCCAGCAACTGAGCTATCTCCAAAGCCCTTTCTTTTGTTTTGTTTTGGAAAACTGCATCCTATGTCCTCCTGGTGTTTTACCCTGAAGCAGTTCCCTATTTATGTAGAGTGTTGTCCCAGGCCGTCGGCACTCAGTAATCCAAGATGCAGCCAGTGGATACCAGTGTGTTTTAATCCAGCGTCAGTGTGCCCGTTCCTCTGCTCGGCCAAGCTAACCCTGTAGAGAACTTCCTCCAGCACTGAAAATCCAGGTCCATCCGTGGGCTAAGTTGGACTTGGCTGTCTTGTATTTCTGTCTCCTTCTAACCTAGACCATTTCGTTTGCCTTTCATATTACTTACCGTTTCCTTTCACAGGGTTCAGCATCGGACTCAGGGCCTGGTCCAGGCCATGTGTGCTCTCCCACTGGACCCACACCTCCCTCCCCTGACACTCTTCATACCTGTCCTCCTGCCCCATCACTGCAGAGTGCTCTGCTTATCTGGTGTCTTTTATCTGGAGGCAACAAAGGCTGGCAAACTCCACAGGTGACACTAATTTTGGTCACTTGGCTAAGATGTCTGATTTATTCACTGTGTATTTGGTTTTCTCCCTCTCTGTTTCAGTGAGAGAGCAGCCTGGGGGGGAAGAAATCATAGCATGTTTATAAGAAAATATGTTTGACACTGATGGAGGGAAGGAAAATTAATTATATAAATTCAAAAGCAGCTGTTAAATTATTTGATCTCATTTCTCCTTTTTATTGTGTGTTCCAAAATTCATAAATTTTTTTCTAGTAATATTTTAAACAGCACACTGTCAGTAAAAAAATCAAAAGAAAGCTCCAACACTAAGTACTTTCACTCTTGACTTCCTTCTCAGTAAAAAAAAAAAAATAATCATGTAAATTTCATTATAACTAATAGGGATGTGGAAAAATGGTCTGCGATATTTCCGACATCACAGATGGCCTATGGTAATACAATAGGACATTGGATTTTAGGCTGCTAATCGCTGGTCATAAAAAACAAGTTTTCTGTGTGTGTGTGTTTCCATAGAGACATCTTGACATAAAACATTTTAAGTACCACTTGAGTGTAGGTAAAAGCAGAAGCTAAGACTCTGACTTTTTTTTTTTTTTTCGTCTGTTTTAAAAGTATTGTAGATTCTCTGTTTTAAAAGCTCAGGTCAGGCCAAAGCCGGTCCTGCACGGCTGTTCTACATCAGCTGACCTTGTATAGGCTTGAGGAGAGGAGACATCAGCAATTGATTTCCCTGCCTTTTGGCAAAGGAATGAGACTGCCTTGACTTCATTCGTGCAGACACAACTGCCAGCTCTTTCCTTATTTCACAGGGTGCTAATTGTGTGGCGTGAGGAAAGGCCTGATGTGTGATGTTATTGTTATGGGTTGGGTGGGCATGAGTTGTGGTGAAAGGTTGACATCTTTAGGATCCTACATTTTTGTATGCTGAGCTCATAAGAGGAGGGTTATGTGTCATATTCACCTGATTTTCAAATGGACTTTTACAGCTGGTAAGCAAACTTTGTCATGAGATTTGACAAAGGCTGTGCTTGGCCAGGCTTTGGTCAGGTTCCAAGCCCTCTTAACCAGGCCGAAAAATTGGCTCTGTTGCCTGCTAGGCCTGCATAGCTTTTTAGAAGAATCCTATTAACAGTCTTTAGAGCACCGCCCCTAAAAATAGGAAGCAAAAATTTTCACCCCTACAACTGATGTAAATGGCCTTGCCTTACCTTCAGCAGGACTCATAGGTCAACAGTTACACCATCTTTATTCTGTTGTCTCCTCTTTCCATCCCACCCACACTTCTTCATCCTGCTTGTTGGTTATAAAAGCCCTGATTATTATTATTTTAAAAGATTTATTTATTATGTATACAGTATTCTTCCTGCATGTATACCTGCATGCCAGAAGAGGGCACTAGATCTCATTATAGATGGTTGTGAGCCACTATGAGGTTGCTGGGAATTGAACTCAGGACCTCTGAAAGAGCAACCAGTGCTCCTAATCTCTGAGCTTTCTCTCCAGCCCTAGGTATTTTTATGTCTGGACTTGAGGGCAATCTCAACACTACAAATTCAATAGTGCTGATACAACTGTAATCCTGAATAAAGTTATCTTTTCCATTTTCACAAGTGTCCGTGTAAATTTTTTTTTTAACAAATTGAGCGCATAAACTGATATCTAGAGAAGAGACCCAGAACGTATGATCCATGGAGCAAAATCTACCCTAGTGTCTGTTTTGAATAACATTTTTACACTTCTAAGTGGTTAAAAAAATGAATTGAATACTATATGGAGACTTGTGAACCTAATATGAAAATAAAATTTCAATACATCTTCCAGGGGTCCTAGCCACTTGCATTTGTTTCTGTCTGGGGTGGGTTTGGTGCTGCAAGGACACAGGTCCAGTAGGGACAGCTCTATGGCTCACACTGCTGGCCCTTTAGGAAGCATTTCTTGTCTCCCAATCAAGGGTAGGAAAGATGACTAGGTTGGCTATCCACAGTGCTCATTCAAGTTCTATGACTTTGCAGCTGGGTAATGGCTCACTGCGCAGCTTTTCCTGGTTACCATGGCTATTGAAAAGTTTGTTTATAAATGTGTAAGTGAGATTGGAGATACTAAAATATTTATTTTGGCTTCAACTGTCATTCCTTTATATATTTAAGAGTAGCAAGGAGAAAAGATAATGCACCATTTTATCTGTATTTAGAATAGATGTGTTTTATTTACAAGTATGTTAAAAGGTTCTCAAGCATTCATCCTCTTTAACAACAGTTACTAATGTCAAATCTTTCTGGCTTTTATTTTTTTAGACAAGTTAAAAGTAAATAGAAACCACTCGACACAACATTCATCAGATGGG